CCTGCCCCCCGCCACCCCCGGCTCTCCTACCAGCCCCGGCTCTCCAGAGCCATCCGGGCCCAGGGCAGGCTCCCAGGAGCCAGCCACACTGCCAGCCCCTCCTGGGCCCTCCTGCTCGGGCACTGCCACTTCAGCTCCGGGCACCCGGCCAGGCCTCCTTTGCATGGCAGCCCAGATGGTTTACCACAGCCTCACTTCCCAGAACTGCCCGCTGCCCTGGTGTCTGCTCCGGGCGCGGGCGAAGGCGCCGGCGGGCACAGCACTCTGCGGGCCCACGGAGACGCCCACCCCCGCCCCTGCGCTGGGGGTTCAGGGTCAGGGAGATAGCGGACTGGAAGCGGCTCCCTCTTTCCCTACCCTCCCCCACCTCCCATCTCGCCCCAACTCAAAACTCGGACCAGATGTGAGCTCCTCACAGAGCCACAGGCTGGTGGGGAGAAACCCCTCCCCCCGCCCCCTCCAGAGGCCCCCCCAGACCCTCTGTGGGTGGAAGAATGGGCCCCGGGACCAGCAGGGAGCTCGGCCCAGCACAACCCGGCGGGGGAAGGAGGGCTGAGCGGAGCGGTGGGCGGCGGGCGGCACAGTCTCTCCCTCCCTCGGCGCCTTTTCTGGGAAAAGCCAGGGGCCGGGCCTGGAACGTCAGGCTGGAAAGAATCGGCTCAGCTGCAGCCGCAAACCTTTTCTTTAGCTTCCCTTCCCGCCGGCATTGTCCCGGCCTTGCCCGCCGCCCACCCGCCCGCCCGCCCGCCCCCCAGAGGAGCAGGAAAGAGAGAGAGCAGGGCCGCCCTGCTGGGTGACCTCTGCCCACTCGCACAAGGTCGCCTCTGCCACAGCGGCTGCGACCGGGGGTCCCCAGAGCAGACGCTGAGATGCTGCAGGGCCCAGCTGCCCAGGAGCCGCCCGCGGCCATTCCTGGAGGTCCGTGGGGTGCAGGCCCCCAGCACCACCTCCTCGTGGGTCTGGAGAAAGGGGGGCTGGAGCAGGAGGGTTCCTTGCTCCCAGGCCCTCCCCTCGAAGCACCGTCCCCAGGGAAAGCATCTCCAGGCCTCGCACGGTCGTGAGAAACGTGTAACAGGCCACGGCCCTCCGACCAGGCTCCCTCCTGGTGCCAGAGACAGCCCGCCCCCCGGGCCTTGGCCTTGGCCTTGAGCAACTCTGTGGTCTGAGGCCAGTGTCCCAACCCCCGTGGCCGCAAAGGCAGCCACCACACAATGGCCACCGTGGTGCCGGCCCCGGGGCCATGCAGGCAGGGAGCCGAGCTCGCCCAGCGGGGCCGCGCCCCCCGGGACCAGCCCGGGGACCAGGGTTCCCAGCCCCAGGTTTGGGGAAGAGCTCCGGGCCGTCACAGGCCGGTGAGTAAGTGGCGCCCCACAGGCAGTGAAACCGCGCGGACTTCCCCTGCCGCGAATGAGTGTTATCTGTATGACCAAGCGCTCTGCCTGGAAATGGGATTCTGACTTCATAGAAGCCCTGCGCGGGGAGAGATTAGGAAAAGGCGGGGGCCTCCTGCATTTCTGCCCCGAGAGCAGCTGGGCAGGGCCAGGGGCCAGCCGGCCCCCACTCCTCCCGCCGAGCCCCCTGGCGGGGACGGTGAGCCGCCCGCACCTGCCGGGGGGGCAGCTCTCCTGCCTGAGGGCTGGCCTGGGAATGTGTCCCGTGTGGGAAGGCACTCCTCCCCCCTCTCCCGGCCACATCCGAGTCCGCCCTCCCTTTGTCTTGGATTAGCGGGCCTATGATCCCCACCAAGCCACACGCCCGCGCCCCCCTCCCCGCCTCCAGGGAGGAGGCTGTGGGAGGACGGCTGGTGGTGTCCCTCAGCGGGGACGGCGGAAGCCCACCGCCCGCCTCAGGGACTCCGGGGCTGCGGGGGCCATGTCTGGCTCCAGAGGAAACATCGGGCTCAGTCCCAGCTCCAGGCGCCCGCCAGAAGGCGGCAGAGCCGTCAGTCCCAGCGGAGGATCCCCTGGGGTCAGGGTCTCCAGCGCCAAGTTCACCGGGAAGTAGAAACCAGCCAGAGAGCGGGCATCGGCCCACCCGGGGGAACCAGCATCAGACCCAGCCCCGGCCCCGCTGGAGTCCGGGGAGCCCCCGGGAGCTGCAGCGTGAGGTGTGTGTGTGTGGGGGGGGGGTCGGAGACAAAGCGGAGCCGTGACCACACACTCGCTGAGAGGCCGAGACACCCCAAAGGCAACGGGAACCCCTGGAGTGACCCGGCAGCCAGAAGCAAGGTGACAGCTGTGGGCGGACGCCCGTCGGAGGCGGCGGCTCTGCAGAGGCCACAGGCCACACCGCCTGGCACCCAGCCGCCCTCTCTCCTCCGGGCTCCGGGCTGTGGAAATGTGGCTGCCGTGCATGGAGTGCTCATCCATGCAAGACACTCTTCTAAGCACGTCTTTCCTTTCCTTTCCTTTCCTCCTAAGCATTGTGGGTGCATCGTTCATTTTGTCCCCACACTGCTGGATGGGGTAGGCACTGCCATGGGCCCATTTCACCAGCAAGGAGAGCCGGGCACACCTGATGGAGTAAGTTGCCCCGTCAGGGTCCTGGGTGGCCCGTCGGGGTCCTGGGCGCGCCTGCTGCCCTCCTCACTGCTCTCCCATCAGCCCCGCACCTGGCCCCGCTGAGCTCCTAGCAGCCATGCAGTCCTTGCCAATGGGTCTCCCTGGAGCCTGGGCCCCCACTGCTATCCTTAGTGCCCCGAGTCCCTCCCACCAGACTGGCATTCCCGGAGCTCCAGGCTGTTTCTCTCTATCGCGCCTCCTCCTTCCGCTCCCCAAATAAACCACAACCGTCTCACAGCGTCCTAATCACCCGCCTTCCCCAGGGCACTCAGCACTGGGGTAGCGGGGGGGGGGGGGGGGGGGAATCCCACGCCTCGCACCTCGCCTCTCACAGCAGGATTCACCCCGCACGCCGCCTGTCTTCCCAGCACTGCGGCTGGCCCGGGGCTGCGGGAGGCTGAGTGGACCTGCCGGGTGTCAGGCCTCGTAATTCACATAGCACTTTCTCATCCATTAGCTCAGGGCTATTCCCTGCGAGTCCTCCTCGCCCCGGGAGGCCCCGCACAGGAGCGATGCCCACGGCACAGCCTCACAGGAATCCACGGCGGAGGAGACGGGACTCCTGGCTCCAGGGACACGGAGAGTCTGTCCCACCAGCCCGCGCGCAGCGTGAGGGCAAAGACTGGGTCTCATTCGTCTTCCTCGTCCAGTGCCCAGCGCCACGCCTGCTGCACAGACCCCCTCCCGTTGCGCTCCGCCAGCCCGGAGGGAGGGGGCTGGACGGATGGCTCCCATGCCCGGTGCTCTGACCATGTGGGTCTGTCATCTCAGACGTCTGATGGGAAACGGTTACTTTCCTCCTTGGCGTAAAGCAGAGCCTCAGAGAGCCTCTGGCTGTCCTGCCCCTATCCCATAGCCCCCAGCACGTGTGGGGGCACAGGGGATGGCACAGTGGCAAAGGCTGTGGGGTCCCAGCGGCTCCCCCAGAAGCAAAAGGGCCTGGTCCCCGTCCCAGACTCCCGGGCTGCCTCTCCGTCCTGTCCGGCTCCTTCTCTGCAGATGTGGCCCAGGGGAGAGGGCAGGACCCAGAGACCACAGCCCGGGGGGGGTGTGTGGGGTGCTGGCAGTGCTGCCTGCTGGTGATCAGGGGTCTCCAGGCCCACTGCCTGCTTGGGGACAGATTGCAAAGCCTTCCATCCTCATGCAGTGGGCATGATGCCCATGCTACCCACAGCCATGCCTCCCACAGCCATGCCAGTGGGACCATGCGCATGTTCACCTCAATGGCACCAGGTCTCCCTACCCCCCTCTCCACACCCCCCAGAGATCAGAGGCCCTACTCAGAGGTGGGGGCACGGTCCAGGCTGTGCTGGGCCAGGCTTTCTGAACCGTCGCCCCTGCCGGGCTTTTATGTCCAGGTCTGATTCCGGACGGTGCTGCCAATTGCCCTGGTGTGTGTGTGGCATGGGGGGGTTGGGGGAGGGGCTGAGGTCCCCTCGCCAGCTCCTGGGCCAGCCCCCCGCGGTCGCCATTCCAGGCTTTGGGGGAGCAGCGCCCAAATCCACTCCGCCTCCGAGAGCCCAGGGCGCCCTCTAGCGGACGCGGGTGCAGCCCTCGCTCGCCCTGGGGCCCGTCCCGGCGGAGAGCGCCCCGCCCGCCCCGCCCCGCGCAGCCCGGGGCCGGGGCGCGGGCTGTCCCTCTGCCCCGGTGGTGGAGGCGGCACCTCGGCGGCGTCCGCAGAGGAACCGGCCATGAACCTGGGCCGGGGCCGGCGGCGGCCACGCAGCTGCGTCCCCTCCGACCCTGGGCTCGGGCTTCGCCCCGGGGACGTGCCCACAGGTGGCCACCGCGCGCCCCTCCGACTCCCGGATCCCGCCTCGGTCTCGCGGCCCCACGTCAGGGCGTCCCCGGCTCCCTCCCTGCGGCCCCTGGAGACCCAGTTCCGCGCCTTCGGGGGCCTCGATCGGGACCGCGGGGGGACCCGGGGCGGGGGGCGAGGGGGCGTCCCCGCGGGTCCGAGAAGGGCCGGGCGCCGGGGCCTCCCAGCCTCCTGGAACTGCCCGCGCTCCCGCCTCCGCCAGAAACCAGGCTTCTTCGAAGGGAGGAGGGAGGGAGGAGGGAGGAGGGAGAGGCAGGGAGGAGGGAGAGGGAGGGGAAAGTGTGAATGAGAAGTCGGGGCGGAGCGCGGGGAGGGGCCGCTGCCAGGAACGCGCCGCCGGGGCTGGCGCCGCGCCCGCGGCCGCTCGCGTCGCGCTTTGTCTCCGCGTCTGTGCGGCCCGCGGCCGGCCCGCCCCCCGCGCTCCCTCCGCCTCCCGCCGCGATAGTGACTAAACATTACAAGAAGGCCGGCCGCGCAGTTCCAGGAACCGGGGGGCGGGGCCGGCGCCGCTATATACTCCCCGCGGGGCCGCCGCCGCGGCTCCCACTCCGCCCCGCGCCGCCGCCGCCGCCACCGGCCCGCACGCGCCCGCCCGCCGCCCGCAGCCCGCGGCCCCCGCCGCTCCGGCCCGACCCGCCCGGGAGCCCGGAGGACGCCCCGGCGGAACGCGGGACGCACGAGGGCGGCTCCGTTGTGGACTTGGCCGCCGCCGCCAACATCTGGGCGCAGCGCGGGCCCCGCCGGCCGCCGCCTCCCCTGCGGGACCGTAGGCGGCTGAGCGCCCAGGCCGAGGCCGCAGACTCCGGTGCGGGACCAGGTAGGCAGCGGGGCGCGCGGGGCGGGCGGCCGCGGCCGGTGCCGGAGGTCCCCGGCGTCCCCGCCTCTCCAGGGCCTTCCCGGCAGGGCGGGGAGGGGACGGGCGGAGGGGATCGGAGATCCCGGTTCCCGGGACGCCGGGCCGGGCCCGCGGGCTCCGCGCGCCCTCCCCCCGGCACCCTCTCCCCGCGAAGCCTCGGGTTTCTCCCTCGGTCCCGGGCGCCCGGAGCCGGCGGACTGCGCGGCGCCCGGAGCGTCCCGGGCCCTTTCCTGCTCCCCGTCCGGCCGCGCGCCCGACACCAACTTCCGCGCCGAGTGCAACTCGGGGGCCGCCCGGGCGCCGGCGGGACGGGGCCGGGCGGGGGCCCGGGGTCGGAGCGGGGCCCGGGGCGAGGACCCCCATCGGGGCAGCGGGCACCCGGCCGCTCGGGGGCGGGGCGGGGCCGCGGGAGGGCAGGCTGGGGCGGGCCGGGCGCCGGAGTTCCGGGCACTCACGCGGCGCCTCCTCCCCCCGCAGCCCCCCGGGATGCAGTAGCGGCCGCTGTCCGGAGGCCGCCGAGCCGCCGCCGCCGCCGCCGCCGCGCGCCCACGCTGGCTCCGTGCGCCATGGTCACCCACAGCAAGTGTCCCGCCGCCGCCGGGATGAGCCGCCCGCTGGACGCCAGCCTGCGCCTCAAGACCTTCAGCTCCAAGAGCGAGTACCAGCTGGTGGTGAACGCCGTGCGCAAGCTGCAGGAGAGCGGCTTCTACTGGAGCGCCGTGACGGGCGGCGAGGCCAACCTGCTGCTCAGCGCCGAGCCCGCCGGCACCTTCCTCATCCGCGACAGCTCGGACCGCCGCCACTTCTTCACGCTCAGCGTCAAGACGCCGTCGGGCACCAAGAACCTGCGCATCCAGTGCGAGGGCGGCAGCTTCTCGCTGCAGAGCGACCCGCGCAGCACGCAGCCCGTGCCCCGCTTCGACTGCGTGCTCAAGCTGGTGCACCACTACATGCCCCCGCCGCCCGGGGGCGCCGCCTGCCCGCCGCCGCCCGCCCCCGGGCCCCCCGCCCGCAGGGCCTACTACATCTACTCCGGCGGCGAGAAGATCCCGCTGGTGCTGAGCCGGCCGCTCTCCTCCAACGTGGCCACCCTCCAGCATCTCTGTCGGAAGACGGTCAACGGCCACTTGGACTCCTACGAGAAGGTCACCCAGCTGCCCGGCCCCATCAGGGAGTTCCTGGACCAGTACGACGCCCCGCTTTAAGGAGCCTGAAAGGGGTAGGGGGCAGGCCGGGGGGCCCGGGGGCCCCGCTTCTCCGTGGCACATGGCACAAGCACAAGAATTCGGGGGAGAGAGTCCCGCCCGCCGCCCTGGGTGAGCCCGGGGCTGGGCCGGCCCCTCCCGCGGGCCCTCCCCCCCTGGGGCACGGGCCTGCGGGGCTGGAATGTGCGGGAGGGGAGGGGAGTGCCACCTGGGCGCCCCTCCCCCCGAGGGCCCGCCGGCCGAAGGGACCATTCAGCGACAGCGGATCGGATGTGGGGTCCTCTCCTCCCGGCTTCCCCCCCGGCCCCGGGCCCTGCCGCGTGTGCTGAACTCGTGAGGACTGCCGGGAACGTACACTTCCCAAAGGAACTTGTTTGCGCTTTGATTTGGTTATAAACGCGGCTTTAGTCCTGAGCGAGGCCCAGGCCTGGGGAAGGGTGGACCCGAGAGGGCACCTCCGCCCCAGGGCCACGGGCTGGCCAGAGGAATGGCCACTCCCCCCGCCCAGCCCAGGTGAGGAGCGTGGCTGCTCTGGAGAGAAGGCCCAGGGGTGGCCTGAGGGGCACCCTCTGCTCCCTCCCTCTTGGGACAGCCAGTGGGAAACACAGGTCCCAGAGCCTGCCGAGTGCTCAGGAGCCCAGGGCCTTCCCCCGTTTTAAGGGGGAAGTGGCATGCGGTGGGGAGGCCCCGCTCACACGATACCTCCCGGCACCTGGGGCTGCGGAGGATGGAGAAGGTGAGCCATCTCTGACCCCTGATCCGCCAGGGAAGGTGGAGGGTTCTACTCTGTGCCTCCTATGTCTGGCGCCGAGATTTTGCCTTAAACGCTCCCTGTCCCATGGACAGGGCCTGGCACACAAGCCACACACTCAGCCGGTCCAGGCCGAGGCCCAGGGGTTCTCAGAGGGCAGGCTGCCGGCCAGGGCCGGGCGGGAGGCGGGGCAGAGGTGTTCGGCCACCCCTTCCCGCCTTGCCTGTCACAGGTGCCTCCTGGGGCCTGGGCTCTGGCCCGAGCACAGCCACCAGGCTCCCCAGCCCCGGGCCCTCACAGCGCCCCCCCCACCTGGGGACGGCTGGGCGCTGCCCCCGGCGGGCGGCCGCTCCACATAGCACTGATGGGTGAAAACAGGAATGTAGCAGCGATGGAATTACCTGGAATCATTTTTTGGGGGGATGGGGGGAAGACTAACACAGTTTCCCATGTCGGGTGTTGGTCTGGATGGGGCAACTGTGTGCTGGGGTTTTCCTTTTTTTTCTTGTTATTTTGGTTTTCGTTTTGTTTTGCTTTTTTTGACGATGTTTACAACCTGCCTCACTCTGTCTTTTATAAAGATTCCCTCCGGCCCTCTCCCCACCCCCACCCAGGCCTTCACGGCTGTCAGGAGATGCTTGAACTCAACCAAATACCAATCCAAGTCAAACTTTGCACATATTTATATTTATATTCGAGAAGAAACATTTCAGTAATTTATAATAAAGAGCACTATTTTTTAATGAAAAACATGACTTGAGCCTTTCTCCCCGCCTCCCCTCCCTCCCCTTCTCTGCCTTGCTTTCTCTTTCACACACGCCCACACGCCATGCCCAGGGGAGGAGGGAGAGGGAGCACCGCCCTCCGCGGCCCTGCCCCCTCGCGGCTCGGGCTCCTCTTCGCGTCACTTACAAGCTGCGGCAGCCCCGACTGCACCGGGAGAGCAATTCCTGCCCTCTGATTCAGATCTGACCAGAATATGCAAAGCGGGTTCGGAGGAAGCGCTTCAAAGGGCTCGCAGGGAGCGAGCGGCGCTGTGGTCGAAGCTTTTAGAGGCTCCGAGCTATTAGAGGCACCCGCTCCTGGGCAGGGAGGTTTCCGAGAAAGCCAGCCGGGGGTCCTGGTGATGACCCCTGACCTCGGCGTAGCTGGGTCCACACGGGAGGCGGGGCTCCCCCCAGGGGCTCTGCTGCCCACCTTGCTCCTGGCAGCCCCAGCCTGAGCAGTGGATGGGGTCCCCGACCTGCCAGTCACCCCCACATTCCCAGGCACGGCTGTGTGTCCGTGGGAGCGGGGAGTGGACCGGTCACTTCTGATGCTCAGCAAATATTTGTGGACTCACTGAGGGCAGCCACTCGGGGTCACAGAGGTGAAGCAACCTGCCAAGGGCACACCATTCAGGGACGTGGGGAAGGCACAGGCGAGGACCCAGGACGCCCAGGCCTCTGGCTCCCAGCACCGAGAGCCCGGGGGGCCCGGGGGCAGGCCAGGTCTGTGCCACCCCCCGCCAGGACAGGTTCTGCAGAAAGCAAACAAGATCCTTCTCTCTGGCATTTCCTTCCCTGCTTCCTCCTCCCCCGAGCCCCCCGGACCCCCAGGCGGAGGGATGGCTGGCAGCCCCGAGCCAGGGGCCGATCCCCATCTTCGAGCCGAAAACAAAGGCAGGCCCCGCGGAGCTCGGCTCCAGGACCCGGCGTCCAAAGGCCCCGAGAGTAAACAGCACGTGTTTCTTTCCCGTTTCCTGACCTTTTGAGGAAAATAACCTGACGTGACCAGGCCGGCGTGACTGCGTCCGCTGAGCGGGCAGAGTGCGCAGGAACCACGCGAGAGACCCCGCCTCGGCGAGCGGGCCGCGGGCCAGATCCCGTCACCTTCCCAGGGCACCGGGTCAGGTGGGGGCACCCGGTGGGCCTGGCTCCCCAGCACCTCCCGGAGGAGGAGAGCCTGGGAAACTTCTGGCAGCTCTTCCCGCCCCGGGCTGCCCGTCAGCCACCATCTGCCTTCAGGGGACCTTGAACCTGGAGCACAGAAAGGCCCCCCGGCCCCCCCCCCCCCCCCCAGTGCAGAAGGCAGCTGTCAGCCACAGGACCCTAACAGAATGGAGTGGCCCGGCCCCTGGCTGAAGGGAGACCCTGACCCCTCCCCCTGGATGGCCTCTCCAGCCTCTTCCCATGTCCTCTCTGTCCCCTCCGTGTCCAGTCCACAGACGGGGCTCCCTCTGGTTCTGCTCACAAGGAAGCGGAGTCCCAGAGAAGGAAAGCAACTGGCTTCAGGCCACACAGCAAGCAGGTGGCCAGCAGAGCGAGAATTCCCACCCCCCACCATAGCCCCTGGGGGCTCCTCAAGCACGTCCCTCCTCCTCCTCCCCCTCTTCCTCCTCCCCCTCTTCTTCCTCCCCCTCCCTCTCCTCCCCCTCCTCCTCCTCCTCCTCTCCTGTGGCAAAGGACCCCAGGTTCTTTCAGGGGCAGACACCCCATCTCCAAAGGACTTCCTGGGGGGCTCTCTGCCCTGGCGCTGGAGAAGGGGTGCCGCCTGGTTCCGGGATTTCCTGAGTCGCATCCTGCAGGTACCACTGCCTCCGCAGGTACCACTGCCCCCGTGGCTTCAGGAAGAGCACAGCTGGGGTCCCCTGGCCCCATGGGGGAGCGCGCCCCGCCCCGCACTGGGCCCTGGCTGCTGGGACTGAGGTCCAGCCCAGAGGCCTGGCCTCTCTCCCCCCGCTGTTTGGGGCGGGCTCCCCAAGAGGGAGCGCCAGGGTGGGAACCGAAGGCCCGCTGGGGTTGGGGGGGGGGCGGGACGGAGGCCCCGCCGGGGAGCTGGGGGGGGGTGCCCGCTGGTCCGGGAGGAGGGTGTCGGGAGGGGGCGCCGCGGCGGCGGGCGAGGGAGGGAGGGGAGCCGGAGAGCCACGCCGGGTGGAAGCAGAGAAAGTCGGCAGGTGGGGGCCGCGTGCACGGAGTGGATGGCCCGGGAGCCCCGGGAAGCCGAGGCCGCCGGTGGGAAGAGCCGGGTCCGGGGCGCACCTTCCCGGGCCGCGCCGGGCCTCCCGGTGCCGGCGGGCGGGCGGGCGGGCGCGGCGCTCCCGGGCCGGTGCCGGGAAGAGGCGCTCCGCTTCCCGGACCCGCGGGAGCCCCGGCGGAGCCGCCGAGAGGCCCGCCCGCCGCCGCCGCCGCCGCCCAGCGCGCGTGCGCGGACAGGCCCCGCCCCGCGCGCCGCAGAGCGCGGTCGCCATGGCGACGGGATGACAGGCGCGGAGCTGTTTATTCTCAGCGCGGTGCCCGGAAGCCGCCGCGCTGCCCGCACCTCCCCGGCGGGGCCGTCGTGGGGGTCCTGACCCCTCCGAGGGGCGCTGCTCAGAAAGCACCGGCCTTCCCGGAGAGGGTCGGGGTTTCCGGTCCCAGGGGAGCCCAGGGCCCCTCCAGGCAGCAGAGGCCTCCCCACCCCACCCCCTCCATCCGGAGCTCCTGTTCCTGCAGCCCCCAGCCCCTGGCCCCAGCCCCCCTGCTGGCCCCCAGCCCCTGGCCCCCAGCCTCCTTCCTGGCCCCCAGCCCCTGGCCCCCAGCCCCCCTCCTGGCCCCCAGCCCCACTCCTGGCCCCCAGCCCCCCTCCTGGCCCCCAGCCCCCCTCCTGGCCCCCAGCCCCACTCCTGGCCCCCAGCCCCCCTCCTGGCCCCCAGCCCCCCTCCTGGCCCCCAGCCCCTGGCCCCCAGCCCCCCTCCTGGCCCCCAGCCCCCCTCCTGGCCCCCAGCCCCCCTCCTGGCCCCCAGCCCCTGGCCCCCAGCCCCCCTCCTGGCCCCCAGCCCCCCTCCTGGCCCCCAGCCCCTGGCCCCCAGCCCCCCCCCCGGCCCCCAGCCCCCCTCCTGGCCCCCAGCCCCCCCCCCGGCCCCCAGACCCCCTCCTGGCCCCCAGCCCCTGGCCCCCAGCCCCCCTCCTGGCCCTCAGCCCCCCCCCCCCATGTATTCACTCAGCAAATCTCTGTTGGCCTCATCCTGGGTGGCGGGGAACTGCTCGCGGAGCCAGACAAGGCCTTGCTCGCCCCGCTCGCCCCGCTCGCCCGAGTGAGTGGGAGTGAGTGGGAGTGAGTGGGAGTGAGTGGGAGTGAGTGGGAGTCCGTGGGAGTGAGTGGGAGTCCGTGGGAGTGAGTGGGAGTCCGTGGGAGTGAGTGGGAGTCCGTGGGAGCGAGTGGGAGTCCGTGGGAGTGAGTGGGAGTCCGTGGGAGTGAGTGGGAGTCCGTGGGAGTGAGTGGGAGTCCGTGGGAGCGGCAGACCCTAAATTGCAGTCAGCCCACCGCGGGGACCAGCCCACCCGCGGGGGCTGCTGCAGGGGCTGGAGGCGCCTCTTCCAGCCACACCGCCCGCGCGTGGCTCCTCCGCCTGGTGGTCTCGCCCTCGCTGGGATGACCGCTCGGCCGGTCTGCCCAGCGCTGTCCCAGTTCAGACCTGGAGTCCTGGGAACGAGCACCGCCTCCCCCGCCCCCCTCCGCCAGAGCCGTCCCGCCAGAGGGAGAACAGGCCTGAAACACAGCAGGTCTTCCAGGCGGTGGGGGGCGGTTAGAGAGCTGGGGGTCCCAGCTGAGAACCCTGGAATGGAGCGTGTTGGGGATCCCCTCGGCGGGTCCTGGAACCACAGAAACACCTGCCCCCCCCCCCAGGATCGCACCCCCGCTCTTTGGAAGCAGAGAACAGAGACCTGGGGACAGTCAGCCCGGGAAGCCCAATCCTCCAGGGCTGGGGGGGGGGGGGGTGTCCGGGGGACTCCTCTCCTCCTCCTGCACCTTGACTCAGCCCAGCTGGGAAGTGCGGGGAGGGAGGCGGCAAGCAAGCAGGGACACGTGCAGGCTTCCCTGGGGGGGGGGGGGGGGGGGCTCCCCTCCGGCGCAGAGCCCTCCCAGCTGTGCCTGCTGGGAA